CCTCCATACACCCTTTCTTTCGCCCCCCTCCAACTTTCCATCTTCCCTCCAACATTCCCCGCCACCTTTTTATTTTTATAAACAACTCAAGGTGGCAAATATAGCTAATACTCCCTCTTCCTCCAATTTTCTCCACGACAATCCTGCAAGGTGATTTGGGCTGAAAGAGAGCGATTGACCGAAAGTCACCAGGCCAATTTTTGATGCCTAAGGCAGGATTAGAACTCATAGTTTCCTTACCATGATTAGACCAAATTGCCCAGAATGAGTTACAGGTTACTCTTCATTTATTAACCACCTCAGTTAATGATTGTTCGCAAATACGACACTAATTTTAAAAAAATCATTTTCTATCCAAATGTGCATTTATGAGTTTCAGAGCATCTCTGTCAATCATATCTTCACTACTACAGGTAGTCCTCAATTTACAGCCATTTGTATAGTCTCCATTCAAAGTTGTAGCGGCACACTTAAAACTGTTACAGAATCACCATGGTGATGAGATCAAAGTCCAGATGCTTGGCAACAGGTTCATGTTTATGGCGGTTGCAGTGTCCCAGGTCATGTGATCTACTTTTGCAGCCTTCTGACAAGCAAAGACAATGGAGAAGCCAGAATCACTTAACAATTGTGTTACTAACTTACCAGCTGCAGTGACTTGCTTAACAGCTGAGGAAAGAAAGGTCGTAAATGGGCAAAACTCACTTGTCTCACTTAACAACAGGAATGTTGGGCTCAATTGTAGTTGTAAGCTGTACAGTTAGTAGCCAATATATATCCTGCTCTTATTTTCACTTATTTTTGTCTGTGTGTGTTTATATCCCATACCAAGATACCTTCCAAGAGAAAACACCCTGTTTCAGCTGAAGCGAGTAGCAAGAAGCAAAGGAAAGCCATCGATCTCAATTTGAAGATGAAGATCATCAAAGCGTACGAGGCCGGGAAGAAGGTGACTAAAATAGCGCGAGAGGTAGGCCTGGCCCACTCCACCATCTCCACCATTTTGAAGGATAAAGCGAGGATCAGAGAGGCGCTAAAAGGAGCAGCTGGCATGAACACAAGTATAACAAGGCAACGAAAAGGCCTCATCCACGAAATGGAGAAACTCCTCATCCTCTGGATTGAAGATCGGATACAGAAGAGGCTGCCGGTGAGCCTCCTCCTCATTCAGAATAAAGCGCGCAGCATTTTCTTAATGCTGAAGGAACAAACGGGCGAGGAGTGCACCGAAATATTCACAGCCAGCCACGGCTGGTTTATGCGATTCCAGCAAAGATTTCATTACCAGAAAACGCACCCGTCAGGTGATGCAGTGAGGGCCGACGAAGAAGCTGCCAGACACTTTCTGAATGAACTCGATGGGATCATAGCGGAAGGGAACTATTTCGCGGAACAGATATTCAGAGTGGACGAAACTGGGTTGTATTGGAAAAGAATGCCGGAGCGGACCTACATACACAGAGAAGCCCAAGCAATGCCTGGGTGCAAAGCATTCAAGGACAGAGTAACCTTACTCTTGGGTGGAAACGTCGCCGGATTCAAGCTGACGCCATTCCTGATCCTTAAATCAGATCACGCCTGTATGTT